GATACAAACTTTTAGTACACAGTAATTCCACAGTCAGTATGTTTCTCATCACTTTAAACTTAACAATTTTTATAATACACAGTATAAATCACACTGATTCACACACTTTACTTACCATCACTACTGTTCGCTTCTTTAATTATCTATATCTATCTATTTCACTGGCTTTCTTTACCAGGCTTATATAATAAAAAAAGAGGGTGTCTAGCAAACACTTGGACATTCGCAGGGTTCCTTGATAATTCGAGAAACTCCAGCGCGCATGCTCCCAGCATCACACGACTTCTGCTGTCATAACACTATTATTACCTGTATATCATAAGGTATATCACTGTTATTACTTACGCATTGCATCACATCAACCTTAGCTTCTAGTTCTGGTAAATATGTAGTATGCAACTGACTTTCCAGTTCTGTCATATAGTTTCATAGTTCTGACCTTTTCCTGTATCAGTCTTACCTTCAAGTTATGGTAGTTTCCTGTATCTTCAGGAGGTCGTGGTCTGCACTTGCCACAGCAGAAGTTGCAACAGCAACAAAAACAACAGCATAGGTAACAGCCTGTGATGACTCCACAGAAAACAAACAATGCCTGTAAATAAATTTCATACTTTTACTGTGCAGAAGTTAGAAAATATATACTTAGATTTTGTGAGTTCATAATCACCGCACTGATAGGAGTGGAAAATTTAATCTCCCTCCCCTATAAACATACATACATCGCACACCAGATTTAAAAACTATATATTCTACCAACTGTAAGAAGAACTAGCTCCTCTACCATTACAAAATATATTAGGTGGGTGATCAGTAGCATTTATAACGTACATAAACAATTTAAGTACGACAAACAATACAACAGTAGTTTTGTTCTTTAATATTATTATTACCTGAAAAAATTACTGTACCTTTTACCTGACATGTTGATTTCAAAACTTGCAACTTACTGTATAGGAAGATCATAAAAAGACAATAAATATTTTGGATTCATGCAATCAAATTTATAATAGTTATGTATGGAACAATTCAAAGGGAAAACTAGCTGTTATGATCTTGTTTTACAACTTTAGCCTCAATAAGGGTACATGCACACACAAAAACAATTCAGAAACCAGCCATTAAAATATATAATTACACAAGGAAAGAAGCATGATAAAAGGATTTTATAGAACAATTTAAAAAACATCCCTCAATAGTATCTTTATGGAGCACTTCAGCACCCCCCCCCTTAAAAAAAACAACAACAACAACAGCATCTAAGGTTATACATATTTGATAAATGAGGTGAACAAAATATTCTCTCTTTAAGTTAAAAAATATATACATATTTATATAGATATTTTGGTCATTAAATTAAAGACAGCTAAAAAAACTTTTGGTACTGCATTTGAATGGCAGAAATAGAGAACATTTTCAGCAGTTTTTAAGTTGAAGTAGGATGGAAGAATCACCAACAATTTAGCCTTAAATCTACATACCTTACACCACCAGCTGGTCAAGACAAAGTACGTGTTGATATTCTCTTCTCCGAAGTGTTCAGCAATATATAACCCAAGAGATCCATAGTTATCATAGATGTTTCTTTTGGTCAGGTCACTCAGGATAGCATTAGCTTTGTTGATCTCCTTAAACTGCAAAAAATGGAAGAAAGTTTTAGGTGCAGAAAAAATATAAACAATCCAATCGTTTAAGTTTCTGATATACGTGAGTGATATAATGAAGAATAAAATTTGTTTAAACTTGTTTGTGTCATGTGATGAAGTATATATTGCTCAAAATAATTAATAGACCAGACTTTTGTGTTGGCATAATTCACAATCTGTTATGAAGTGTGTGTGTCAATAAAACTGGTAATTTATTTTGAAGCACATCCAGAGAGAAAATGTCACTCTTTATGCACATTTGCAAATTTTAATACCAAGTTTAGTAAATACTATCATAAACAATGTCTGAATTTGGAATAAAAGATCTACAAATTTTCCTTGCATTGAAGCTATATAAATGTCAAATGTGTATCTAGTAACCTGTGTGTGTGTCCTCTTCTAGCATTGATACACTCTTGGCATTTTGTGGAATGGTCTACCACTCCATGATCAGAGATTTTGTTAGCTCATCTACCATTGTTGAATGGTGTTGTGAAAACTCTCTAGAGAGCATATTCCACACATGCTGTATGGAATTAAGATGTAGTGACCTTTCAGACCAATCCATGACCTTTAGAAATGCTATCAACAACCAAGCAGTATGTCCTGCATTACACTAAAATTACCCCCCCCACCACACACACACCCCAATGACATCAGCAAATGGCCCCACAGTGGGCTCTAGAATATTATCTCAATACCTGCACGTTGTTAATGAGCCCCCTGCTAAGACATGTGCAACCCTTGAAGCACACCCCCACTCAGACCTTGACTAAGCCTCCACCGTCACAGTTGTATTGAACAAAGTTGCAGTCAGCTTAACGTTCACCTATGTTTCTCCATTGTCCTAACATGTCTGTCACAAATTGATATACAGATCCTGCTCTCATCAGTGAACAATAATGGCTTCCATTGATGAAGTTTCCAATTTCTCTGTTCGTGAACAAAGTCCAGTCTGGCTCTGTGATGTTGTTCAGTGAGAACTGGGCCTGTAGCAGGTTGCATAGCACTCAAACAATTCTAGTGGAATCTGTTACAAAGTTTTTAACCTGACAAATGGCTTGCTGAAAATAATCTAACAATTCCAAAGGGCCAGGTTATAGAGATACAGGTCCTGAGGAGGGATAGTGACCATGTGAATGGTCTTGTCCCATCCTCCAAATGTAGGGGCCGATCTTCTGGTGCTTACTCCTCAATATGGCAACTATGCTGCAAGATACTTTCTGCTACCTGTCCTGTGTAACACTACCTTCTGCATCACAATTACCCTGAACACTCATGGATGATCCAAGTGGTACTTAACATATCCCACAACCTCCAGAAAACTAGCAACAATAACAAAGTCCACTATAAATCTCACATTCACAGCGTATTTCACAAACTGACCAGGGATTGGAATCTTATATAGGGGTGATTGTACTTGGTCATGTCTGTGGTTACATGTCATATTTGACTTGTTTCAAACACCTATCTTCACTGGTTCTAGTGCCATAAGATATTTTCACATACCACTCTACCTTATCAAAAGTAATTTTGAATTTTGAAAAAATACTTTAAATAACACCTAGAATTCAAAAGTAATAAAGTAAAAACATTTATACATGTTCTTCTGTGAACATCAAAAAAACATCTAAAACACTTATCTGCAACAGGTGGCTCAGCAGTAAGTTTGAGGACTAATTGCTCTAAAAATCAAAGTTCAAGCCCTGCAGTGGGCACAGTGCATATAACCCATTGTGTTGCCTTGTACTTAAACCAATCAATGTGGAACAAAACTTCAAGTCGCCCTTAGTGATACAATAACCCATCGAAGTTTTACCAAATAAATTTTCAACAAGTTTGCTTGTGAATATTGCAAAAAAAAATTATAGAACGAGAATCACGAACAGTGATGCACAGATAAGGTTATTATAGTTAATGGAAGGTTTTGTGTAGACTAAAATACCAGAAAAGAAAAAAAGAAAATTTTACAAATAATTAGTGAAAGTGGAACTACATTATATATATCTGTAGATATTCATACACAAATACAGATCACATCTCTCTTGTCATTTTGTAGGTTTTCTTTTCTTACATGAGTTACACACAGTATTTAGTACAACAAATGTCACAGTACTCAACTTTTCAATGACACATGAGATTCACATGGTTTTTACCATACAAAGAAAAGGTTAAATATAATTGGAATTGTAACAGCATCAACTTTGTCTGTATGTGTTTACAACAATTGGGTAGATTTCTAGCTGGAATAGTGTGTATGAAAAATATTTTTATATGAAAATAGGATAAATTATTGGCAAAATGCTATGCAAGTTTGTGTGTGTGACAATTGGTTAGATTTCCAGCTAAATAATGTATGTGGTAACCAGATAACTAGATACCTAATAAAATGAGTAAGTAGGGCATTTAGACACCTAATAGTTTTAGAGGGGTGTTAAAACTTCACAACATACTTAAAATACATATAATGGAGTAAATTAAACAGGTAATGTAGTAGGCCTAGAAATATACCGTTCATATAATGGAGTAAAGGACAGGTTTGAATTCACATGGTCAGTTTTCTATCCACTTGTGTTCATGATAGCATCAAAAGTAAACCATTTCTTCTTTAATGATCTCATTTTTGACCAGATAAATGGGATCCCAACTGGGTCCAATGATAGCCAATAGTTTTATATGCTATCATGTAATGAAGTAAAGTAAACTGGTAATGTATTAGGCCTAGATATATATACAGGTCTTTTATAAGCCAATAGTTTTATATGCTATCATGTAATGAAGTAAAGTAAACTGGTAATGTATTAGGCCTAGATATATACAGGTCTTTTATAAGCTCATGTTTATATGGTGTTGTACATGGAACATACCTGTTGTAGGTATTGTTTTATTTTATAGTGTTGTACATGGAACATACCTGTTGTAGGTATCATTTTATTTTATAGTGTTGTACATGGAACATACCTGTTGTATGTAGTGTTTTATTTTATAGTGTTGTACATGGAACATACCTGTTGTAGGTATTGTTTTATTTTATAGTGGTTATACATGGAACATACCTGTTGTAGGTATTGTTTTATTTTAGAGTTGTACCTGTTGTATGTAGTGTTTTATTTTATAGTGTTATACATGGAACATACCTGTTGTAGGTATCGTTTTATTTTATAGTGTTGTACATGGAACATACCTGTTGTAGGTATCGTTTTATTTTATAGTGTTGTACATGGAACACACCTGTTGTAGGTATCGTTTTATTTTAGAGTTGTACCTGTTGTATGTAGTGTTTTATTTTATGGTGTTGTACATGGAACATACCTGTTTTAGGTATTGTTTTATTTTATAGTGTTGTACATGGAACATACCTGTTGTAGGTATTGTTATATTTTATAGTGTTGTACCTATTGTATGTATTGTTATATCTTATAGTATTGTTATATTTTATAGTGTTGTACCTGTTTATGTATTGTTATATTTTATAGTGTTGTACCTATTGTTTTATTTTATAATAAACAAGCAGTGTCTAAATGTCCTACTTCGACATTTTTTTAGGTGTCTTGTTGACCAGTTTCTAGTTTTCCTGGATTCCATGTGTGCATATAAATATCAATAACTAGGAAGTTGTGTTTCAGAATTTTACGCAAATCTGCACAAGCACTATCCGTGCATAGCTGTACCTAATTTTAAAGGGACAGCAGCTAGTCAACAACACCTACTGGAAACTCTTGTCATCATTCTTATAGTGCACCCACAACCCCAGAATAGTTAACTGCTAGGCCATGTCTGGCCCTACAAGTGGGTAGATTGTTGGCTGACACATTATTTATCTTTGTGTATACACACACACACACACACAAACATATATATATACAAATTCTGAAGAGTTTCCATGTTGAACAATAAAGTTACAATTTTGTAACTAATATAGTTTCACTGAAGTACAGACAACATTAAAACTATTAAATGTTTCACTTTACAATCTGAGAACCTATCAATGCAAAATCTTAGGGTCAACTATTAACATTCAGTATTTTCATCTGAAGTGTCATTACCATTTTTATTCTATGTTATTAATTTAATATTTCTGCAGCATCTGGGTTGCCCTGACTTTTATCTGTTTGATACATAAAAGCCAAGTGAAAAAAAAAATCTTTTTGAATACTCAACATTCTCTTCTGAAGTCTCCTGATCTTTTTGTTTTTCGTATGAAAGTTATTAACTTACCACTTCTGCAGCATCTGGATTTCCCTCATTTTTATCTGGATGATACTTCAAAGCCAACTGAAAGAAACAAGAGTATCCCGTTGTAAGCAACTTCTTTGATTTTATTATGTATATTCCAGAAAATGTTAATGGTCTTGTACAATCTCTTAGATTGACTTGTGTGTATATATTTTACAATTTCTCTGTGTCCTAGACAACGAGTTTTAATCGCTGTTTAATTTGTCTGTGATGTCACTACTTAAGTTATGAACACTCTTCAGTCATCAATAATGATTACAACATTACAAGAGCATAAAGTAAACTTTGTCATTTAATCTTCCAGTTTCCAATATAAACTATAACCACCGGTTGAATTATGGCTACAGTTTTTTTGTCATCTGTAGACTTGTACTACTTAATTAGATACTGTAGCTAGTAAGAATCTAAAGAGCAAAAACTTAAATACTCAAAATCATCACAACAACAAAATACCATTTAAGTTTACAAATATCACCAATGAGCACATCAAATGTGGTTGATCGATTTGCTTGTTCTTGTTGTAAACAAGGCTACATCAGATTCACCACACGATGGCTACACTAACACGCATGTGAAAAAACATGGAAATTTAAGGATGCTGAATATTCTGAGATAGTTGAAGCACACCTTAGGTGATCAAGTGTGATATAATGAATCATTCAGATTTTTAAACCTTAACTACAGACACTACCCAGCCTCCACATAAAAGGAGAGCTTATTTATTCATAAAACAAGATCCAACTTAACCAAGTCAGTTCAGATAATTTGTTGCTTAACTTGTAAACTAAAAGATATCTTGATAATTATATATTATTACCAATATTATTAGGTATACTGGAATGATAAACTCTGTGTTATCAATAAACTCATAAAAATTATAATTAATTATTCATGTCTTCCTCTTCTATGCATCAAACTTAACCTACTTTTCTGAAAGTCTTCTTCACATCATCTTGTGTGGCTGTTTTTGGAAGTCCCATAATTTTGTATAGGGAATCACCAGATGTCCTGCAAAGCAAGAAAGATTATTCAGTTTTTGTATAGGGAATCACCGGACGTCCTGTAAAACAAGAAAGTTCTTTCAGTTTTTGTATAGGGAATCACCGGACATCCTGTAAAACAAGAAAGTTAATTCAGTTTTTGTATAGGGAATCACCGGACATCCTGTAAAACAAGAAAGTTAATTCAGTTTTGTATAGGGAATCACCGGACATCCTGTAAAACAAGAAAGTTATTCAGTTTTTGATAGGGAATCACCGGACATCCT